TATACTATATATATTGTTATATATATATATATATATATATATATATATATATATATGTTCTGATAAGCATAAATTTGCGTGTTGAGGCATTTGCGTTAACGATACACCGTGTATGCATACATACGTCTAATCAACTTTCCTCTTTCCTCTTTTGTATTTCGTCGCTCGCGCGAAGTCGCACGGAGGGAAACGCGCCGCGGGGAACAAATGAAGACGGCGAAACAAACGGAGGGCGAAATGTATATGGCACAGGTCGCGAAAAACGTTAGGAAACATGTTCGCGATTCTCCTGTAAGATAAATTTCTCGTGAGACAGAAATAAATAAACCTACTCTGAACAGAAAAACGCCCACGTGTGGTTACGCGATTCATTAAATACTGATCGCGCGCGATAAGGTTGCAAATCAAGTATCGGAAAATGAATTCTAGAATTTGTGAGTACCACAGAGACAGTTAATCTTTTAATACAAATCGTTATTACAAATCGTTCTTTTCTACCAATGTAGATTATTTCTACCAATCGTTTATTTCTACCAATGTAGATTAATCTCTCTCTTCTCTTTCTTACTCTTTAAATTTTTAAAACTAATTCTAAAAAGAGAACGATAAAAAGTAAGTAAATCGAGATTAAAGTTAATCTACATTAGTAATTAGAAGTGGACATTTATTTTGTGCAATTTTAACTTTGCATTCATTGAGAAAAGAAAAAAATTTCACAAGAAGTAATGATTAAAAATAAATTATTAGAAATTCATTTCTCAACTCAAAACAATAGATTTCCAAAAATATTAATGTTTTAAATAAGAATTAATTTGCTTAGCTTTTTACTCGAAATGACAAAGTCAAAGATTATTTTATAATATATATCTGTAAAATAATATAAAATTTTATCGCGTTAATATGCTGTTGCAAAGATATGCAAATTATTAAAATTGTAATGCTGTTATAAAATTATATATTATTCTCCTTTCATTTAGCCGTTATCATATTTTTAAAGTTCATCAACTATATGCTCTCACAATTATATGATAATTATTAAGTTATCGATGTATATCAGTAGTTTATCCAATAAATATAAAAAAACAATATATCGCGTCATCTACATGCGCCTTAAGCGTGATGAATATCACTAGATATTTTATATATATATATATATATATATATATATATATATATATATAATATAAGAAATAAAATATTCCTAGACGGCTTAAGAATTCAACATATGGCTCTCATTCACATATTACTACACGTATCATATATACATTTGTTATTTCTCCAATATCATAAGCTCCGCGATATTTTATCGTTGGGATCGAATGCGCAAGTATGTTAGTGAGGGTAATTTGGGACAACAAGAGAGATAAAAAATTACCTGCGTCACTATGCAACTTCATTAGTATATGGTAAATAGTTTTTCAGTAGCGCGTGTTTATTTATTTTGGAGTTTGCTTTGCCTGTGCTCCAAGGTTCACTGAAAATTTTATAATATACGTAACACAGGCTATGCATTTTTCAATGAGTTTTAGACAGCATTTATATACTTTGTTTTGCAAGGCGAGTTCTTTTTTTCATTTACATGTGCTTAGAAAATTGTTAATGAAACAACAATGTTTATGCATTATGTCATTATACACTTATTTGTCAATGTAACCGACAATAAGACTTGCTAATATGTAAATAGCCTAATATATCTCAACTATATTTAGTATTACACGTGTTAACACAGTATTACACGTTGTCAAGTTGTAGTTTTACATATGTATTTATATGAAAAATTTTCGAAAAACTTCCGAAATTAATGTTAAATTAATTTTAGTCATTAATGTCAGTCCTGTCAGTTGTCATATTGTTATAAAATTGTTTTCTATTATTCTCTTTTCAATATATTATTTATTATTATCAATCAAATCTATTATTTACCTTTAATAATATTAAAATCAAGGTTTTCAAATCAGAGGTGTTCCTTTAGGCATTTTAAGTCTGATATCTCATAGTATCCTGATATTAGGAGAGTTTTGAAAAAATTTTAAAAATATTTACACATTTTCTTTAAATGTTAACTGAATTATAATATGTTAAAATATTTAAAGAGAAAAAAAGGAACATTCCTCTAAGAGTAATGGATTTTCTGACAATCAAGGATTACAAATGATTTTAAACACGAAATAAGCATAATTAATTATGAAATATTCGATGTTATATTTTCTTTACAGATATAAGAGTTAATGAATGAGACAATGGCATATTCCAATCAAAATCACGAGGCAACTAAAGGTATAACAGCAAAACAAAATGGACAATATGAAATTCCAAATGAGAAAACTGTAACCAAGACTGGCTTAGATATATTGTATACATCACGAATAGATCGTGGTATAACCGATGAAGATGTGGAGAAGAAGATATCATCACTGAAACATCTCCTGGAGAAAGACCCAAAGGCTGCTGATTTAAAGTGGTCTCTTTTTGTTGCGGCATCCAACACTTATCGTTACGATAGTTGCTTAAAACCATTTCCACCTATGTACATTAAGAATGAATGCAAGGATATTGAAGCATTGGTATTATTCCTTATATATTTATAGAATGTTATATGATGTTTATTTGATACATTGCTTTATCTGCAGAGGAGAGCTATAGAATCAGTTCCTCCCTTGCCCGTGATATGTAAAGAACTTAGTGAGAATAGCGTCTATGAGAATTATGGTGAGACAATAGAGTTACTGTATTGGGTATTATTACGATTGAGAGACCCATACGTCAAGAGCGTGGAAAGAGAATGTGTAAGTATGCATGTCTCAATTTCCAAGATGTCAGAGATCAAAAAATACCTCATAGTACACCACGAAATTTTAAATTCTTACAGTATAATTCCATACTGAGGAAAGTGCCATTAGAGGTACCAGTTGCAGCTCCGAATCTTATATTTCAAGTAACAAGCGCGAAACAATCTGCAGCTGAAGAGAAATGGAAGTCAAGCGCTAAAGGGAATTCGACATTTTATGCGTACCACGGCAGTCGCTTAGAAAACTTTCATTCTATTGTGCATTACGGTTTACAACAAAACATGTGCAAAGTATATTCTTATTTCGAATTGAAATTGTTTCTGTTACTTTTTATATTGTAAAAATTATGAAAAATTGGCATGCATTTTAAGTCATATATTATTTCAGAGATCACAATTTGGTAAAGGAATATATCTTTCAAGCGAATTAGGAGTGAGTTTACCATATAGTCCTGTGGGTTACGGATGGGGAGGTAGTCTTCTTGGGAGCGAGATAAGTTGCATAGCTCTCTGTGAACTTATTAATCATCCTAACATAAAGCGAGGAGATTCAAGTAAATGTCTAGTGTGTTTGCAAGAGTGATTTATAATATCATGTCATATTTAGAAAGCAAGTGTACAATTATGTTTTAGAACATGACGCACAAAATACATTGAATGATTCGATCGCTGGACGAATACCGAACAAATACTTCGTAGTAACGAATAGTGATTTAGTAAGGATACGCTACTTACTCGTCTATACTCAAGATCTCCATACAACTAGGTAAGTTCAATCTTAAATATGTAATATATCAACTTTGTGTGATCACACAATCATTACTATAAATCTTACTTCAGTACTACTGATAGTACGGGATTATTGGCATGGTTCAAACAACACAAATTATTGACATTTGTGCTCGGCTACGTCGTGTTATTAGCCTCAGTTGGACTAACACAGAACAAACAAGTAGAAAAATATTATAGACTATTTATTCAGAAAGCAGGATTCGAATAAAAGAAGACTGCAAATTTATATGATTTGACATTGCGATAAGTTGAAGTCTCAATATAACAAAGAAAGACTACAAATGCTGTATTTTCGTAAAATAGAGCTTTATGTGCCAAGATATCGAGATATCGCAAATGTTACAAGTATTTTAAGAAAATACACAGAAAAAAGTTTCAATCAAAAAAGATCATTCCTGTGATTTGTATTTTTGGTATTTATAGTCTTTTCATATATCAAGTCTTTAGTTATATAACAAACTTGTCCATGGTGCGTATGTATGAAAAAAAATTATCTTTTATATACATTTTTTAAATATACATGTGATAACTGAATAAATATTTTGTATGATAAAAATTTATATATAAACACATTATTTTAGAAAACATTTTTATTTTTATAACTTTTAATATCGCGAGAGTATAATAGGAAAGTTCTCGGTGACCAAATAATCGTCTTCAAATACAACAATAAGATTTACCTCAAATTCTGAAAAAAAAAAAGAATTATTACATCATAAATCTCTGTAGTTCTGTTTTAACAGTTTTAACAACGAAAACTACAGTAGTATTCTTACCAACTTTAAAATTACTAGTACTTAAAGTAGGGCATGTGAATAACCTGGGAAATATCATGTAGATCGGAATAGCAAGATTCGTACAAGCGTTGCCTTCTCCGATTTGTATATTTTGTATCTCTGTTGCTGCAACATATATCTCTGTCAATTTTGTTACTACAATGTGATATTTTTACGTTTTTTTTTTCCATATTCTTACCATCTCTAGAGTATCCTTCCGCACATCCGCAAGTTTCTACTCTCACCAATTGTAACTCTATAGACTTTATAACAGCCTCACATTGTTCAATCACTACCTATAAATAATATATATATATATATATATATATATATAATTCTTAAAGATTAAATACTCTGAATAATATAGTGATAAATCAGAAGAAACAGTTATGTACTTCGCCTGTCAAAGGTTCGGAAAGTTTGCAGTATAAGGAGTCTAATCTGCCCGAGATGCAAAATCTTGGTACATTGGCTCTGTCCCGGGTATTTTGTAAAGACTCTGGCATTATCTTAAAGAACACAATCTTACTATGATCTTTTTCCACCTTAGCACTTGGTTTATCTTCAACTATGAACTCCAATGACTTGCTCACGTCTTTTGCGAGAAAGCTTCTTTTTATATCACAGCGTATCAGATACTGTATATTTACAAAAACACCATGATACGTTTCGTAAAGAGATTTGCTTCCTCTTGGCTTTAACGGCAATTCAAATGGTATTTCCGTCTTACCACTTGGGATCTTTCCTGAAGGAGCAACATCCAGTGTATATTGTACTAATTGTATCGGCTAGAAATAGTCATATAAAATAAAAATAAAAATTAGTTTCTGTTATATGTAAAAGAAAAATTTTATAAATTAAATAAGCTCATTAAATTATTAAAAATTAAAAAAATATAATATACATCATAAACTTTTTTACAAATTAAATAGCTTCTCCATAGGAATACTAACCTTAACCGAATTATAAAACGCTTCGAAAATACCAACATTTTTGGAACTAAGCTGCAAATTTACTGAGCCTTCCATAGTGAGGAATATACCATCGTGCTTTATATCTGAATTGGTTTTTAACAATATTAGACCGGCAACTACCTCCTACAATATAACCTCAATTTTGAATTTGATCCAGTAGAAAAAAAAACATAAAATAATGTTCAACCAACCCCTTCGTGATATATTTTGCTCGCGCGTTTCAATTTTATGTCTATATTGATAGACATCCTGGTAGTCTATAAATTTATTATTTTCTCTTCTTTTTCTTTTTGACACCTGTCAGCTCATCTGTCAAGCGAAATCGCACGTCGTCACTATATTCGAAAGCTTTCAATTTCACAAGATTTCATTCCAAGTACATTCGGTGCTATTCATCAATTGCCAGAAAAGATAATAAAAACTCGTCAGAAAGAATGATAGACAATCACTGTTTGCATCGTCCAACTCCGAATGTCCGAGAAGAAGAGGCAAATAGAATAGCTGTCACTAGAATCAGCTGTTCATCGAGTGATCATCAGATGTCCAAAATTTTCAAATCTGGACAAATCATGGACTGCAAGACATTTCGTTACAAAAATCATCAAGAGAGCGATCATCAGAATGATCATAGCTCTTTCTCAAAATAAATCACACATTGTACGTTTCTTTTTCTTCTTTTTTTAATATTGGCCGTGGCTCAAAGCAGGCTATGATACAAAAATGAAAATTAGTAATTGAAATATATCGAAAAACAATAATAAAGTCGAAAGTGCTAAACGAAAATGATTAAAAAATGTGATATAATGGGCGAATGTCGTTCTATTCAACGGTCTGGAATTATAAAATGATGCTTTTTTATACTGACATTCGACGCTCATCTTTAGGATCAATATCAGTCACGTGAATGAAGTTGATGCGGAATAGGAAGATTTAAATGACTCTTTTTTTTTTTATCATGTCGTCTATTTTGACGGTGAAGTGAGCGTCGAGCGGTAGCATGAAAAGGCACCTATATGCGTCCCGCACTTTTCGTCAACCGTTTTTTCTTTCAGAAAACCGCCACCTCTAGCCACCTGGTCGCAACTGCGAGTCCACGACAGCCCGAGCCGGCGTCTGCTCGTAGGGACATTTCCTGCCGAGCGGCGGTTCGGCCAATGAGAGAGACCCAGCGCCGCCCCGCCTCCGTGCCGGCAAACAAATTCAAATCGACAAAATCGTTACTGCCTGAGAATCGCCGTAGCTTGAGGCTTCGATTCTGTGCGGCTTACTTCAATCTTTCGGAGGAAGAGACGAGGATACGTGTGCCGTCGCGAAAATCAAGACTTTCCACGCGACTGACAATGGCGACGAGAAATCGGACGGCGGCCACGGTGAGCACGAAAACCAAATTTTATAAAACTAAAATCCGTGAGGGATGGTCGACATGTCCGTTGGCCTTAACGCCTGACATCTTTAAATACCCTCTTTGATACTTTTTAAAAGGCGTCATTGTGTCCTCGTGGCTCTTATCTATCTTCCGATTAGAATGGAAAATTTACTTTTCAAAAAATAGTTATAATATTATCTCTCTTATTATCGCTCGTACGTAATGTTTACACAACATCGACGAGCGAGGAACGTTAAGTTTTTTAAGCATTAAAAACGTCGTGGTCATTGATTAGGATCTCTTTATTGATTTTTAAACGTATAAATAAATCGTATAAAAGATTTTTATACGTAAACGGAATAATAACTTTGAGATAATGAATCGGGACTGTTGTCCTCTAATGATGACTTACCGTAACGATACCTATACATATTACTCCATTCTCATCATTAGTCTTTCTCCCAACATTTCCCAATATTTCTTAATATTTAAAAGAATATTGTAACATATTAAAAATATGCATTTTTTTCTATATTATTTCAAGCTTGGAATCTTTTATTTGAATTTTATCTTAAAAATTTCATTTTGTATTTGTAGATGAAGCATGTAAACCAAGAAAATATCAAAAACATAAAGCCTGCCATGGTGGTTGTGCCATCCAAAGGGAAAAGAGCAGCACTCGGTGAAATAAGTAACAAAGTTAATACATTGAGAGGTGTTGAGCCCATCGATAGGATTAATTTATTGCAAAAGAAGAAAGTGACAATACCGAAGCGGCAAGCTGTGAAACCAATAGCAAATGCAAACGAGAATCCACCAGTGCAAGTTGTAAAACCGGTTATGAAGACATCATCTTCTAATGTAGACAACAAGTCCGAAGTGGTCAATGTACCAGCGGCTCCCGTTAGTCAAAAGAGAGAGGAGAGGAATTCGTTTTCAACGGATTTACTAAAGTTTGAAGACATTGACGAACAGGACAAGGAGAATCCTATCCTGGTTTCTCTCTACACCAGTGACATACATGAGTATCTAAGATCATTAGAGAAAAAGTTTCCTATTAAGAAGGGATATTTAACGGGTCAGGAAGTCACCCCTAAAATGAGATGTGTACTGATAGATTGGTTGGTAGAAGTACATCAACAGTTCCGACTGATGCAAGAGACATTATATCTCACGGTCGCAATTATCGATCGTTTCTTACAGGTAAAAAATGCAAACGATGGAATTTATGTGCTGCGGGTAAACGGGTGTTTCAATAGGATTTCTTTTTATTCTGAATTTTTTATTTTCTTTTCTTTTTTTTTCATCTTAAAAAGAAAGAAAAAAGATCAATGATACAAAAAAATTTAACTAAAAAAACAACTTAATTCTGTGCTATGAAAAGAAAATCTTAAAAATTGCCGCGCATATATTTTTTATTATAATTCGTTAATTTCGTTTTTGTAGTCTCATCGGACTATAGATAGGAAGAGATTGCAGCTGGTAGGTGTAACAGCTATGTTTATTGCTAGTAAATATGAGGAAATGTATTCGCCGGATATAAGTGATTTTGTATATATCACGGATAAGGCATACTCCAAGGCAGATATATTACACATGGAAATGATCATTGTGAAGAATTTGGACTATTCGTTCGGGCGACCATTACCGCTGCATTTTCTTCGAAGATACAGCAAAGCTGGAAAGGTAGCTTGGATATATATGCGTGTATATATATTATCGGAATTGTATTCGCGTTATTTATAATTAGCATTATTACTTTTTGAATAATAAATTAATTGACTTTCAATAAGAGCAATTGGGAGTATGGCGCAATAATTAACACGCATTTAAAATATAAAAATATATTTTATTTATACATTATAAGAATGTAGTGTGACACAAACGTCGTTTTAACTTGTTTTCAAATTATCTTCATTGATGTACAAATATTTCCATAAAGTTTCGCAAGTCCGCAATTTTCCTATTTTCGAAATTATGTAATAGGTGAGCGATTCCTAATCTCCTAGGAATAGTTTTCCACTACATACCGGAAATATGAAAATTGCGGACCTAGGAAACTTTCTATAAAGCTATGAAATATCTATATATCTTAATTATTTGAAAACAAACCAAAACGTTTGTATCACGTTAATTCTGGTAATATGAGAATTAATATATTTTAAAAATATATCTTTATAAAAATATTTTGAACAGAATGCACATTAATTATCGAGCTATGCATCCTTAATTGCACTTTTATTAAAAGTTAATTAATTTATTCAAATTTGAGTCTATAGAAATTAAAGTTTTTGAATAATAATATTTAAATAATTGTTTTAAGGCACTTCCTATACATCATACGATGGCCAAGTATTTCCTTGAGCAAAGCTTGATTCATTACGAAATGTGTCATTATCCACCTAGTCTCATTGCTGCAGCAGCAATATATCTAGCATTTCTGTAAGCAACTAAATCATCTTATGTTCTTATCTTTTCTATACCTCATAAATTTCATAAATTATATAATAAATAATTGTAGAATTTTGGGTAATGAAGAAGAAGATGTAGGCAAGGTTATTTGGACAGATACTCTAGCATACTACAGCACCTATTCCAAGGACGATGTGTTACCTGCAGTACGTGATATAGCTGCCATAATAAATAACGCAGAATCAAGTAAATACCAAGCAGTGAGAAAGAAGTACGTCCATGTAAAGCACATGAAAATTAGTGTTCGACCAGAGCTCAAATCGCCAATTATGCTTTCCATTTCATCTAAAAGCAATGAGATACAAAATTGAGTAGTAGAACTTGTTTGTGACCTCATTACGATTCTAGGATGTTTTCAATAAGGTATTTGTCTGTCGCGCATTAGATGTCAATGTCAAAACACAATATGAATCTAATTATGGACATTATGGTTCATGGAGGTCGCGTTTTGTAAAAGATAAATTATGGATAAAGTAAAGTGCTTTATCGCAATGTAATAAATGTCGCTAGACATTTAATGCACGAACTTCTTATTGAAAAATTCTCATACAAAACTTCTCATACAAAAGCTGAAAAGGAGACGTATTTATAAATTATATACAAACATTTGTTAACATAAGCATGAAAATTTAATCGGGTAATACTGATGAACTTCATTTTGGACTGCCGTAGTGAAACTAGGTACAACAAGAAAACTATAAAAAAAACATATCTTTTATAATGAAATATTAAATAAAGCTTTTAGTTTTTATTCCTAGCTGATTATAATAATATTTTAATTTTGATATAAGTCCTACACAGATGCTTTTGATGTCACCATTTGAAAATATGTGAGTATTCTAAGACATATTTCTTTTTTTTTTTTTTCTTATGCTTTTATATTCATATTTTGTCAAACGTAGTCTATCTTAATTAGTATATGAGTCTGTCGTCTTTTGATTACTATTTTGAAATATAAATTGGATAAAAGTTGTATTGTATAGAAGGAAGAAGTGATAATTTTTTGGAAATATCATATATCGCTTAGGAAATTTTTATCAATATAGTGATAAAGGAGAGAATAATTATAAATTTTATATTACCGTATCTTATAATATGTATATAAAATAACTAGTATATAAGTACTCGTGCAGGCTTGAAGCATGATAAAATTTTATATTGTTAAGCAATCCAAATTTTAACATTTCCAAATTTAGATAGTTTAATATATGTATGACTATTTTAAGATCAAATACAAATGGCTGCTATATTTAAGCCGTGTTTTAGTTGCAAATTCAATTATAATGATATAGATTAAATTACAAACTCTATATACACATGCTTTGTAAATAAATAACTAAATTACTATAATTCTCTCGTATTTCAATTTTATATTTAGTATGTATAATGACAAGACTTATATGTATTAATACAATGTATGTATTCACAATATTCTTAACCTATTTTCTATGATTCTTAACATCTTTTTACAAAAATTCTTTAATATTCCCCATTTATCTTCGAAAAATTTTTTAAAAAATACTTGTTACATCTGATGTTGCAGCAACTTCGGGAGGATATATTAAACATTGTTCTGAAAAATTAAAAGCAAAAAGGAAACATAAATCCTAATAAATGTAAAGTATCATACAACTATTTTTACAAGTACTTACCCACTGATTTAATAGGTATAATAATCTCTTGAAGATGTGCCTCTGTATAAAACGTTTCCTGTAAACAAAATAATTGTAAATCTTAAGAAATGTAAAGTATATTTCAAAAATCGTTAGCTCGGATGTTTCTTATACTGATTATTACATCGATATAGGCTAAACTTGTAGGAGCTAATCTATCCCAAATTTCAGATTTTTTACTTTCTATCAGTTTTAACAACTTGTCCATTTCAACTTGGATTTTTTCTGCTTCGTCATCAAATTTGAAATATATTAACACTTTTATAAGCTCGCTCCATTCATCTGTAAATGAAAATTAACGTATTTAACAATTTGATATAATAATGCAAATTTATTCATTACATCATTTCTTCGAACAAACCTTTTTCTTTATAAACGTCACTAACGATCTGATAAAGGGCATATATTAAACTTAAATCTTCAAACATGCTGCCTTCCTTTAGATTAAAAAATTTCCTCGCATGTTTCCTACGATTCTTACTTGATCGGTAACTTTTCCTGAAAAATAATGTTATGTTTTTTTACTTTATGTATAAATATAAAATCACAGATATAAAAAACAATTGCATCAGTGCAACATTTATACATAATATTATAAGATAATTTGGAGAAGTAAATAATTACTTAGTAATTGCAGATATTTTCGACCTTTGACTTAGATTAGAATATATAGTACTGAGTGTGTCTTGAATGTTATCCGGAATTTCTTCATTGCATCCTGATCCTTTATCATCACAGATCTTTTCGTTATATATTCGTCTTTCACCAATTTCCTTTCTCACTATGGCAAGACGTGACGTATATTGAAGAAAATCTGTTATCTTTTTATCCAATTTTTTGATCACATATTCCGCATGTTCCTTTACTCCAGGCTTAATATGTGTCTCTGTAATAAAATAACAAAGTTTGAATATATTACATATTAAATATTGATTTATGCTCGATTATTAGTTATTCTTAAACCATTCAAGTCTAAACGTTGAGAATCAAGTGCTATTCTTATTGCTTGTTTCCAGAATTTTCCCTCGCATAATAATGCAATAGCTTCCTCGTTGTGTTTCATATAGTCTTTTAATATTGTAGCTGCATGTTCATACTTTTTCTCATTTTTCAAATGTTCAAGTAGCGTTTCGTAAAGAGCATAGCTATCTACTGGTCTGAAAAAATTAATTTCTACATAATATGAACTGGACAAAATTATTATTAATATATAATTATTAATTCTAGCAACGAGAAAGTAACGATAATCTTTTGCATATACATATATAAAAAAAGGATTGTATCTTTACCCTAAATTCATTTCTTTTGATAATGCAATCGCATCTTGCCAATCATTGCCTGTCATGCTAAACATTTCTAAAGCTTTGTGAAATTGACCGCTTCTATAATACATCATACCAGCCTCTGAATATTTACATTTACTTGAGAGAAAATCTCCATAGATTTCAACAACTTTTTGATATTCCGTACTATTTTTCTCAAATGTTTTCATTGCTATCTTATATAAATCGTATTCACGCACTAAAGTTAGGCATTCTTCAAACCTAGACGGTTCTTTCGATAGACACTTGAATGCCAATTCATAGCGTTTAAGATGCATATTAATAGAATATTCTCTGTAATTCTTGTCTAATTTTTTAAGTCATTCAAGAATGGAATATACTCTTTGGGATCCTTCGACGATTTGGAAGCTATGAACATTGTAAGGTCAAAATCGTACATGCCTAATGCAACATCATATAATGTGTTGATATTTACAAAATGCAGTAAATATTTCAGGATTTCGCTGGCGGATACAGAAGAAACACATTGCAGTGATTCTTGTGAATCCTCGAACATCTTAATGTCCTTTATTTTACGAAGTGCATCTTCCAAACCCTGTCTCTTTTTATTTTTGACCAAGGTTATCAATATTGGCCACATAAACTCACTCGCATCCACCCGGTTTTCCATAACAGCTTTTAATATTTTACAAACTTTGTCTACCTTATTAATTGTAGTTTTCTTAGTTTCAATATCAGATTGTACAGCATGATTTTCATAACAATACATATACGTTGTTCTAGTGACATCTTCATCACTTAATTCTGTTAAAAACATAGTCAACATATTTATATTTCTGTGTGCAATATCCGTTACAAATTTTTCTATATTATCCATAAATAATTGTGGATTGTGATCGTACATCAAATTCAAATTTATACGTTGTTTCGTCATTAATTCAAATGCTGGCAGATAATCGCAGCTATTAAGGTAAGACTTTAATATGTGCAATAATAATATTCTTGGCTGTATACACTCTAGATTTCCTCGTGGCATCTGTAGAATTGTTCGCGAATTTTGTGGTACTGCTATTATTATACGAGAATCTCTTTCAAGTCGTCTGATATAGATATCTATAATAATATACATTATAAAGTCAAATATAATGCTATAAAAAAAAAGTAATAAAAAACATATATTTTTACCTGCATGTAACTCCTCCTTATGATTAAGATTTAACCAAGGTTTGATAGTTAAATCATGTTTTTTTAATTGCTCTATACCAGTTTTGCTTAACGGAACACAAATCAATGTGGCTTGCAGTGTTATAAGGAGCAAAAAATGAGAATGTACATAAAAACCTGTAATATTCTTAATAACTTCTCCATCAATGAAAAAATTATTATCATGAGATAATGCAATAATAACATCGTTTGAAGCAATTTTTATAACTTCCATTTGAGAACATGGCATAGCAAATGATATTTTTGTTTCTTCAAATTGCCCATCTTTTGTATACTTATATACTTTATTCTGTGTTATTATATAAGCTGTACTTGCGTCGGGAGAAGAAATTATGTGTTGTATTGGATCATCAAAAGTATAAATTTGGCTATAAAAAGAAAAATGTTTGAATTTATTATAAATATTATTTTACTTTTTTTTTACTGATTAGAAAAATTGCATACCTTACTTCTAAACGGTTATTAATCTCTTTATCTAAAAATAAAACACACAAGAGATTTTGTTTAGCTGTAGTTACAGAATACAACATAATGTTTGATGTAAACCACAAGAAATGATTCAGGTAATACCATTGATTCTTTAGTGAGTTATATGCAATGTCGCATATTACATCACAATCAATACTATACGTGCGTAAAAATTTATACATTAGCCCTTCATTTTCCTAAAAAATGCAGAATAAACCATATATAATAACAGATGTGTGAACTTATATTATTTTTCAATTTTGATTTATATAATGTATATTAATTAAACATACCATTTCTTGCTTGAAAAATATTAACTCATTGGTATACAAAATAGCACAGAATGCATTACTGTTAATTAAAGAATTCTCATCTTTAACATTTGGTGCAAAGACAATTGCATTTACTGGTTCGTCAATATATAAAATTTGATGTGCTAATGGTGGCGGAACAATTCCATCTCTGAAACCAGTAACTAGAATGTTGTGTCCATCAATAACACCAACTACAGCTTTATCATCTGCAGTTTTAGACCAGCTATGATTCACGCACCAATTAACTGGATAAAAAGAGAATTCATTTTTTGTTACAAAAATCAATTCTTTTCTATTGATGTCATTTTCCATACTACTCCATGTTGTGTATATTAGTGGGTTATCTTCACGAAAAATAAGAGTTTGTTTAAGGTACCAATGATCATTATTTTGAGTCCACAACTCTACCAATGAGCTATTCACATCTGGTTGATGATAAACAATAGTTAAAATTTCTGAACATGGTGACCAAAGCAGATCTTTTATCTGAAAGATATCTACTTAAAAATTTGTCACTTTTAATAATTCAGATAGTCTTGTCCATTTTATCTTAATATTTAACATACCGTTATTTTTTGCGATTCATAGGGAAGACACAATTCCGAGTATTTAAGACCGTTCTTTTCAATGAATGCAACAACAAGTCTATTATCTCGTCTTTGAATCGTTGCAATTAAACTTCCTGATGGATTCCAAGCTACATTTTTCTCCAATCCATTGAGTGGTTCGCTGGTACTAAGCAAGACACCCTCTCTGCTAAATATTTTTAACTGACGAATTTTTGTTTTCTTGTGTAAAAAACTAACAACAAATAAAGTGCCATTTCCACGCCAACTGATTTGCGTGGAGCCATCATCAGTCTCATTCGGAACCAATTCCTCTGGTTTTGCTTGAGCTGCTGCTTTACCCTTTGAACCATGAAACTGAGTCTCCTTTTTACCCCAGCCAATAGTAACAAACGAATTTTGTCCAAACTCTTCTAAATATAAATTTACCTATAATGTTAAATACATAATTTAATAAATAGAATAAAATTTAAATGTTTCAATTTTAAAGTATGTTTGCAGAAAACTTCTGAAATTGGCAACAGACTTATTACAGTCACTTTTTGATAACAAGTACTTGATAATAATAATAAATACAACAGATAACTATAATCACTCATCATATTGAAAAGATTATAATCAAAATTTGATCCTCTCAAATTAAAATTGAACAAAGGTCTTACAAATTCTTCCCATATAATAACTAAAATTATAACAAAACCAGAAAGAAAACAAAGTATTTCTGAATAGATTTTCTTATAGGAGGAGGATCAAAGTCTGATTCAGTGCAGTCTGAGATAAATAAATAATAAATACATATAGTAAGCACATAATAAAACTTAATAATACCCAGTTTAAAATTAAATGATATTACCTCTGACAAAACAAGGCAGTCCAATATCATGGTAACCACAAAGCCAGCACCAGTTACAGCTGCAATGATTTCATGATCTGGACTGAATTCCATACATTGCAAGCCACTTTCGAATCTAGCTAGTACAATGCTGTTAAAATCCTGTTTACTGAGTGGGTCGATTTTAATAATAATACCTGATTTATAAGCAAGGAATAATTCATGTAAGGTGTTGCAGTAATCTAATGAGACAATCTCAGAGTTATCAAATTCACCAACGAATGCGCAGGTGAAATCGTCGTTTCCGCTTGGTAATACATAAATATATTTATTCAACAGTATATACGCGTCATTTGCATTTATAATACATAATGCATCCATAAGTTCTTTCCTGTTTACATTTTTCATAAAATCGAAAGACTTATGATACCGATGATAAATACTTAAATTCCTCATGATTTTTGACCTGTATCACACAATGTACGTCTCTTTCTTTCTTTCTTTCTTCTTTTAATTTTTTTTTCAGTTGAGATGAATGCGAAAGCCTCAAATCTCTCTCTTAAATCATACAACACTTTTGTGTTTTTAGTCTCAATTTTCAGATGTCTTCAATACTGTGACCTATTGTATTGTGACGGTTACAGGTATATTAAAGCATATAACATACATTCTTGTATTTTTACTCACAATGACACTTTTTTCTCTATTCGCTCTTACTTTTTGTTTTTTTTTCTTTAAGTTGTTCCCGGGCGGGAACAGTTATGTGCCTTCAACTGTCCCGGTTATACGACACAATTCCTCTATCTTTTTACATGTGTTGAGAACCGGGAGGTTATGTTATTGAAAAAGAAGATAAAATTCACGTGCAAATTAAAAATTATTAAGATAATATAAAATACATTTTACAATGTAAGAGGCGTCTTAACGTCGAATATTTCCGTGTCACGAATAAGTAGCATTATGTCAAATGTCGAAAAGTAATGTAAATAATACACTTCTCTTATTTTTTTTCTCAAGTCTCGCAACAAACCACATAAGATCAAACAATTTGAAAACGAGGAAACGAGGAAAGGAACTAAGAGTAGGAGCAATGAAAATATATAAAGATTCCTAAATTTTCGTAGGCATGCGCAATTATGTTTGAGTTTCTCCCCCTACGTCTTTGTAGATTATATTCGGTGATCAAAAAGAAAATTTACTAAATTTCGATATATAAAATCACAGATATTAATGAACTTCATTTTTGTAATTTTTACTTCGTTTCAAGTTACACAATTGATCCCCAGAATTCTCTTTTATCATAAATGATCATGAATTTAATAATTTATTATTGAAATATTTATGTTAAAGACCATAAATTTATATCAATAATTAATAATATTGATAATTTGGAGTTATATCCTTTCGAGCTCTTTGATCGTCACAAAAATTTGTCCGGGATTAACAGTCTTTAAGGCCATATCACAGTATATACAGTAGCGCAATTCTCCCGATTTTAGCATGTACAAAATTGAACTGCATGCGCAAGCTAAGTAGGTAACCAATCACGTAACTAATTTTCATATTTCTTCTCGGATTTTTCTATAGCGTTCTCTGTCATTTAAATGTCCAACATACTAGCGAGAACAAACGTCTGACATATAAAGTGAAATCATAAAGAGTTTATTCTGTTAAGGCGTATTAAAGAAAATAAATAGGAGTGTTCAGTATATTGAGTATATTGAGAATATTGAATATTGATTAATGAATAGTTCAGTGTTCAGTGAATTATTGATTAATGAGAGAAAATAAAACTAAGAACGAAGAGTTATTTTCTCTTTGGAGAATAATTAATCTCTATAAAGATTTATACAGATTTATACAGATTAATTATTCTCCATTTTTTTTTATTATAAGATTTTTTTATTATAAATTTAGAATATTTATGAAAATTTAAAAAAACGTTATTTCTTTTGAAAACTATTATTTGTTCTTATTCTAAAAGTAAATAGACATTATATTTAATTTAATAGACATTATATTTAACATAATTGTAATTGCATATAAGTATATTTATAATGCTTTTAAAATAAATTGTTTTCTCTTTATACAAAAATATTTTTTATTATTGTATACCTATATTTCTATTTATTCATTAAATTTTGTATTATTTTTAAATTTTATAAATAACTTTTTAAATCTTATAAATTTAAGAAATATATATTTACATTTGTTTTTATTTTATTTTAAAATAATAATATGAATTAAATACGTTCATTAAATAAATGTAACACGTTTATTTTATATACTATTTCCTTATGTTGAATATTTTTTTCATATTTTATGCAATTTTTTTACCAAAGTTAATAATATAATATAGTTTTTTTTTATTAATATTTATATATTTTTATGTATATTTTTAAAATTATTTTTTTACTTTTATATTTCATATTTGATATTTATATTTTATATTGTTTATAGAGTATTTTTCATTATTAGCTACGCTATTTATATCATATTTATACTATTTTTATTTAATTTATATCTTAAATATGATGTTAGCATAGAAATAATAAGTTAGAAAAAGAGAGGAAGTAATGTATATACATTCAATGTACTTAAAACGAAATAGATATATATTTAAAGCTTGATGAAAGCGAGATAGAACATTTTAATGCAATCTAATACAGCATCGAAAAACAGATCTGTGATTGGTTACCTACTTAGCTCACGCATGTGCAATTCAATTTCGTACACGCTACATCAAAGGTGTCGACAGGGAGTTGCGTTATTGTATGTACTGTGGCCATATCAGACTAGCAATTGCCCAGCTACGGTTGCCAGTTGACGATTCTATTATTACCAATTACATTGGTAACCAGGACCTGCTACATTGTGATTGACTGAAATACAATCGGCAACCATAGCCGCGCAACCGCTAGTTTGATATGGATCTTTAGGATTACTTTCACCATCTTCGATTAACTTAATCATTAAATTTGTGGACAAATTGTGATTGATCCAATAGACTAATCGATTGATTAAATTAATCGGTTGGTGAAAATAGTTCTTAATAGTATCTCATCGATGTTTATGCTAAGGATGTATTCACATTAAGAACAAAAAAATTGAAAACCAAGAATTTTTTAAAGGCAATTAGAAAAGAATGTTGTGGCAAAGTATAACCAATGTAACTTCCAATTAATTCTAACAAGTTCTACTTTTTGCTCTTGCATTCCAAAGACACCGACTGCGATAGAAAGGTCCCATTATCGCACATTCTAATAGAATACACCAATCGCATCAGTCAGTGCTTAGGAAATTTCTAATGGACCATCAATCAGAAAATTTTATATTTTCTAATTGGCCAATCAGTGATGGGTACTCTTGGATCTCTTCCGTTGTGATGTTCACTCGGTACTATAAACGCTTCGAAGCGTTTAACTAACCAATCAGAACCATGAATTCTACCAATTAACCAATCAAAGCATCAGATATTTTCGAATATTCGTAGTATCAGATGGACCGCCAGCCATTAGTCTCAATGACGCGCGCTCTCGTCGCACTCTAGCCTCTCGACTTCATGACTTCGTAAGTTCGGTGACGCTCTCCGTGGTGATAACGGACGAGTAAAAGATTATCGGTGAGCGGGGTGTATCGCGTGTGGAACATCGAGTTGAACTCGCGCGTGTGAGTGGATAAGAACACGCGAGTGACGAACGAACGAACGAACGAACGAACGAACGAACGAAAGAAAGAAAGAAAGAAAGAACGAAAGAAAGAAAGAAAAAAAGAAAGAAAGGGAGTAAGCAGCGCCATCAAGCAGCGTGATAAGATGAATCGCGAGAGGCGGCTGTGAATGGCCACCGACTAAGCGAAAAATCGGCCGACCAATTAGCCGTGTATCGCAATCACGCACGGGTGGAAACTCAATTAGCGGCCTGCATTCGAGTATCCCGCGGGCCACGCACCCGTGGTTAACCGGCCGGTTGGTTCCTCCACCTCCTCTTTTCTTTTTCCCCCCTCCGGAGAGTCGGCTGCGAGGGGTCGACGACAGCCGACGCAACGACGGCGGTGGCGGTGGCGGCAGCGGCAGCGGCAGCGACAGCGACAGCGGCGGCGACTAACCAGGAGATCGAGCAAGCGAGCGCGTTAACGACAACGGCTCGAGATTTCTAGAAGACCACGGCGCGCCGGAGAGGCGGTCGCGGGGAATTTAAAAGACTTGCCGAAGGACAAGCTCGCGCGAGACGCGACTGTGAGCTTTTAACGTAGGAATTATATCGTACGTATAGGAAGACGCGCACGCGGACGATGCGCAGCATCTCCCGAGCCCGTGGCTACGTGCAGTGTCGTGTGTCGTATACGGGGCGCCGATAACGGCGAGTCGGAGCAACTGGATGGATCATCCGTGCACGATCTCGTCGCTCTCGCACCCTTTGTTTATGCGATCGGATGCGCGCGATTCACGCGTTCCTAATATGCGCGCGCGCGCGCGCGCGGTGTGTGTGTGTATGTACATGTATACACACCCATACAGCATCTTTATTCGAGGAACATCTCGGGAACGTCTCTGGGATATCCTCTCATCCTATTATAGGATATCCTCAGGACATCCTTAAAACATCCCTCCGTGCTGTATGTGTCTCTCTCTTCCTCTCGGTGCGGAGAACTCGAGGATTCGAATTTGTCGCACATCCGTTTATCGTCCGTGACGATTCCCCGAGAGTTTCACGCGGTTTCATGCGGTTTTCACGACGTCCCGACCCGACACTCGGCAACGCACACGCGCCTACCTACTGACTTTTGTGTGATGTGCGCGCGCGGGCGCGCATACGCGCACACACGCACACATACGCACGTACGCGTGAGAATGTGCCCGCGCGCGTACGTGCTCCTCTCGGTGTGGCAAAGCTGTCAACGCCGTTGTCAACTCGCAGCCGATTGCTGTCCGTCCGTTGGCCCGCCGCCGACGAGTTGTTCGCGAACGAGAGATTATCGATCCCCCGCTTCCTTGACACATGTCAGGATATCCGGTTTGTAAATCGCGGTGCGAAATGACTGCCTGACGGCCAGCATTGTGTTTTGTGTAGAAGGGTGGGAGATAAAGAGAGAGAAAGAGAGAAGCTCTCCCGACGGTATGCCAGAGAGATGCCTGGCGAAATTGCTTGAGACAGTTTTCACGTCAGCTATTCTGTGTGATTTAATAAATATAAGCTGGTCTTGCAGAAAATGTATTTTTGACAATATAACAATGCATCATTTTTGTGAGAACGTGACAAAGACGAACGTTTCATTAAAGCTCCAGATACTGTAGTAAAAAATAGAACTCATTGCTTATTCGTTAGATTGAAATTTATATTACACGTTATATATATTTAGGAAAAAATACAGGAAGACAAAGTATAGAATAGTTTTTGTTTCGTTTGTATAAATCGCATAAATTCGAAAAATCAGAAAGTTGAGAAATTTTTAGATAAAGTTGAAAGAGAACAAAGAAAAATGATAGAGAATAATCATTTCGAAGTTTGAATAGTTTTTTAAATTCTTTGCTGAAATATTTGATGGGTTTTTATAAGTATTTATTAACATTGCAAATTCTTTTTTCTTACAGAGCATTGCGTAAACGATGGCAGCATTACCACGGAGGATTATTAAAGAAACTCAAAGATTAATGCAAGAACCAGTTCCTGGTATCAGCGCTGTGCCAGATGATACAAACGCTAGATATTTTCATGTAATAGTAACGGGACCTGAAGATTCGCCGTTTGAAGGTGGATTATTTAAGCTCGAATTGTTCCTACCCGAAGATTATCCAATGTCTGCACCTAAAGTTAGGTTTATCACAAAAATATATCATCCAAATATAGACAGGTAAAGATGAAAACTGTGATGTATCTATTTTGATTTTATCAGAGATGCGCAAGTTTTGCTTTGCTGTCCTTTACATAAAAAACAAGATATTCTTCTCATAAATATAAATTTTTCCAACGATAGATTGCAAGTACAATTATATGTACATTTCAAATAAATTTGATCGCTAGATAAAAATAAAGGCTGTTATTTTCTTAGCACTCTCTACACTGTTTAATATGACTATTTGAACTTATCTGTAGATTGGGCAGGATTTGTTTGGATATTCTCAAGGACAAGTGGAGTCCAGCGCTTCAAATCAGAACAGTTTTGCTGTCCATACAGGCACTCTTGAGCGCGCCGAATCCCGATGATCCATTGGCAAATGATGTAGCCGAACTTTGGAAAGTCAACGAAAGCGAAGCGATACGTAACGCCAAAGAATGGACTCGAAGATACGCTATGGACAACTGATCTCAGCCTTGTCAGATCGCCCATGACAAAGCAAAGCGACGTTACTCCTACCTTTCCCAGACTTTTGATCACCTTACCCGCACCAACTGCGTATCCGGCACCTGTGTCCACAATTTTGCTATAAAAATAATAAAAGTTTTGTAAGAGTAAAACAGAATGAATATTTTCTATAATCGTGGGGGAGAAACGTAAAGCACTGTTGGATTTATTCGATCGCCTATTGAGAAACTTCGTAAATAATCTTTCTACGTTAACGTTGTGTATCGGCAAGAGGAAACCTCTCTCTTTCTCTGTGAGAAGACGCGGTGAGATATGTTACGACATAAGTTTGAAGTTATATTAAGGAAAAATTTGCAAAACATACAATTCTTTTATATTGCTACAAAACCAGTGTAATTTGCAACTTACATCTTTTTTTTTTCTTATTCCTAATATGTATTATTCGAAAATGGAATTGAAAGATCCATGTTTTGACATAGGAATTTTTCTCTTTATACATATAAAACGAGTTTATTATATATACTAACTGGTTGTCTGTCTAATACACCAGACACATAGATTTAAGTATTGCATACGTAGAATAGAAAGTGGATAAGATCGATCGGTAATAGTTATTATTTATCTCATATGTCTTATAGATAATATATTCAAGAAAATACGAAAGCATTTTCAGTATTTTCTATTTAAACTTAAGAATCTTTTAACATCTATTTTATTGCGAGATGTAGATCGCCGCGGCGGCTTTTTTGATTTTCAATATAATAGAAATATATATTCGAATATATATTTGATTTGTGCTCAGAAAATACTGTAAACAAATAAGATTCTTTAATTATGTTATAATCAATAATTGCCAATTAATTGCTTATAATATGTAAATATAAATAAGAATAGAAAAATTCTTTACGTGTGTGTCTAATGAATGCATTCTATTTATTAAGATATAAATAAATTTAAATATAGAGAAAATCAATCCGATTAAAATATATGAAATAAAAATTGTTTTAATTGTGGTAATTGCTTACTTGAAAAGAATGATGTAAAATATATAGGAAGTTTTATATATATATA